ATTTTAACCTTCTGAGATCACTTCCTCTTAGTACTTAGTAAAACAGACCCCTCTCCTGACTCTGGCTCTCCCTCTAGCCATCATCCTGCTGTTCTCTTTATAGCCCTGCCCTATGCTTCCAATTCTGTTTCTGCTCTGGTCCAGTACAGTCTGGACTCCAGTCCCTTTACACTGCCCGGTCTTGCCAGGCTTCCCGGTATCACATTCCTAGACTTTGCACACTGCTCTTCTCACTGGATTTTCCTTCCCCATACATTTTTTTCCCAGGTATTACTCACTCATCTTCCAGTATTCAGCAATCATATCAGGGAAGCGACCTCTGATCTTCCCAGTCTGGATTAGGTGCCAATCCTTGGTGCCACCATGCTATCTTGTGGAGAATTTGTATAATAACATTTATTAGTATCCATTGTAATTACCTGTCTGCATTAAAATGGTGGACTTTTGAGAAACTGACTTACTCATATTTGTTTTTATATCTGGGGCCTAACAGTGCTGAGTATAGAGTAGTTCCTCAAAAAAAAAAAAAAATTGCTGAATTATGTTAAATATGTTCATTTAATATTTTTTTAAATTTCCCCTCTTTTTTATTTATTTATTTATTTTTTAAGTAAGTTCTGCATCCAACGTGGGGCTTGAACTCATGACACTGAGATCAAGAGTCACATGCCCTACTGGCTGAGCCAGCCTGGCCCTCTGGTTTAACATTTTTGACTACCTCCTACTTGCTAGCTACCAATTACTGAGCACTTATTATGTGCCTGGTCAAGTACTGACTGGTAGGCACATGTATGTTTGTATGTATGTATGCATGCATGCATGTATGTATGTATGTATTTTAGGCACATGTATTTTTAATCTTAACACCTGTATTATTTTACCCCCAAGTTAGGCACTGTTATCTTTCCCTTTACAGATGAGGAAACTAAGGCTTTGAGAAATTAAGTGAATAAACCACAACTGAATTGCTCTGTCTGGGAAATTTCTCAAATTACTATTTCCCATTTAATCTGAACCAACCAGAACTTCTCTAATCTAGGCTGTAAATTTTTAAAGCAAGATCTATAATCATCCAATTATATTTATTTGTAAATTGGCTGCATTACCAGTCTGTCAAATGATCTTTTCCAAAAAAGATGGGAACTTGTGTGGTTTAACTAGTAATCTTTTGTCTTTTTTGTCTAACATTTATACTTTTGCTAGCCCTTCCATGAAAACAGAGGACCAGCAATTCATCCTATTAGGGAATTAAGAGAAACCAAATGATTAAAATCGACAGATAGTGTCACAACCCCCCCCCCCCACCACCACTATTCTCAATCCTTTCTCCCCACTGAAGAACCTCTGGAGCCAACAGTTTGAATGCCCTCCCTAGGAAACATGCTCATAAGAAGAAAAATCGGCCAGTTCGACTTGCCCCCTCCTTTCCTTCCTCCTCCTCCCTGTTAATGAGCAGTGAAATGGCCTAATGAGCGGGGCCAGAGAGAGGGGAGAGCAGAGAAGAAAACCTGAATAATCCCCACACTGAATTATCAACCTCTGCGTAAATGAGTTTTCTTTGGCTTCCTTCTTTTCAGAGTTCAGCATTTTAAAGTTCTTGCGGGATGTACTGTTTCCAGGCCCTGAGCAGAGCCATGTTTCAGTTTGTGCCACCATCAGTTTGATTCTGCTGTGTGGGCTGCAAGGCTTGCGCTTCTGACAGGGACCCCAGGAAGGAATCAGGGAGAGCTCTGAATGACACAGTTCCCTCTTCCACTGAGAGGCAAGCACAGAATGGCCTTTTAATGCCCTTGTCTGTTAGACTGTGCACGATACCAGCTGAGAAGCGTTTGCGTGGCAGGAGCGGCCCTAGAAGATAAGGAAGGTGCTGAGCGGAATATGAATGCAGCCGTCTTCGCCTGAGCCCGGGAAGGGGGCCTAGCTGTCAGTGGCACAGGGTGAACATTTATCCTGCTTTGCCTGAGAACTGAGTGGTTTCCTGGGCCGTGAGACCCAGCCCAGTCCCAGGCAAACCTGGGTGGTTGGTCTTCCCATCCCCGTGTACTCAACTTCTTTCCTTACCTTAAACTTTAAGTTCACAATCAGTTGGAAATCATTTCCTGTTGTCTTTAAATCCTGCCTTGACTGATTGAGAACAAAGAGCGTGAGAATTTCCTCCGATGCCCTGGGTCAGCAGTAAAATTGAACGGACCCTTGTCAAAAGCTTTCTCCCCACTCCACCGGCATCCCGCTCTCCCCTTGCCTGATTTAGAACCTGTGGCTGCCCTGCTCCCCACGCCTATGAGGTATTTCTTTGTCCTTCCTCCCCCTCTCCTTTCGCGGCTGCCGCAGTAACTCCAAGGATTAAAGAGGATGTACAGTATGTGCTTTCTCCTACTCTGGCACTGGCTTCACGTGGCTCTGCTTACATGCAGCTGGCTGAGCTGGGGCATGAGAAGCCTCCAGGCGACCCGCAGCTGACTCGTCAGGTCCCCCGCAGCAGCTGTTATCTGCACCAAGCGGGTCGAGCCCGCAGCAGCAAAGGGAGGGTGCAGCGCGAATGTGCAGGAAGAACACCAGACAAGCCTGTCTCTGCTCCAGAGAGTCTAAATCACCTCATCTGCATGTGGGGAGCATGGCGATTGTTCTGGAGAGAGTGGGAAGGGGAGGAGATGGTGTTTTTCCACAGTTACCAAGATAAACAGAGCGGCCAATGCTGTCTGTGCAGCTGCTTTGGTGTGAGGAGGAGCCGAATTATTTTATTTTTACTCAGTGGGAATTAACACCCCCCCCTTTTTCTTTAGAGACAGGGAGTCTGTGGCTCACAGAATCACTCAGTGATTTGAATCTTTCTGCAGAATGGTGATAATTTATGGGACTGTCTAGACATATCCCTGTTTGGACATTTAATTAGCGAAAAACCAGTCCAATAAACAAAATAGCTAAATAATCTGAGACAACCATTTGAAGACCTGGTGGAAGGAATGGGGGCAAGAAAAGGGGGTGGAGGAGCGGCAACAAGGTGAAAATGTTACTTCAAGACAAGAAGGAATAAAGAGTTGTGGCCCTCAGGCCGAGGACAGGGAAGGAAATGAGGAAGAATGGTTATTCTCTTTTGTATGATTGTCCTAACTACCAGGCAGTTTTAGAGGCTGGACCCTTGTGGCCATAGCAGTTTGGAAGAGCCAAGGTCTCAGACTTAGTAAGTCCAGCAGAGATCCTTGATTGAACCTGTCTCCTTGTAGGAGTAACCACAGGCACGGACATGCTCTTGTGAGAGATAGTTAAGGGTTCACGTAATGAGGGTAAACGGAACACACATCAATTAGCACACCCTTCAGAGCCACACCCCACTAAATCACGGTATTCACCTACAAAGATAAGGGGAAAATGGGAAGAGGAGGTCAGAACATGAAAGAGGGAGCTGTAAAGCAGAGGAACGAGTGGTAGATGATTCAGTAGGCTCAAGGAAACTCATTCCGAAGCCACTGAATTCTCAAAGGCTTAGGAATTCGAGGAACCAGGTGCCTTTGAAGCCACAAGGACTGAGGCGGGAAGGAAAGGGCTAAAATGAGGATTGGTTGGCTATGTGTTTATGAAACAATTAAGAGCTCTGCAGTCTCTTCCCCACTTCACAGCACTTTGACTGCTTCTCCCCCACTCTGTTGGGAAAGTAGAAATGTATTCTTTTCTTTTTGTAGCTTTATGGAGATATAACTGATATTTAACATAGTGTAACTTATAACTCGATGATTTGATACACGTATACATTGTAAAATGATTACCACAGTAGGGTTAGTTAACATGTCCATCACCTCACACAAATACCTTTTCTTTTGTGCTGAGACCATTTAAAATCGACTCTCTTAGAAAATTTCAAGTATATAATACAGTTTTGTTAACTGTGGTCACCATGCAGCACATTAGACCTCCAGAGTTTATTCGTCCTGCAACTGGAAGTTTGTACCCATGGACTAACATCTCTACATTTCTCTCCTACCCCACTGACTGCCCCCAGCAACCATCATTCTACTCTGTTTCTCTGAGTTAGGCTTTTTTATTTTTTTAAGATTTTATTTATTAGAGAGAGTGCGTGTGTGCACACACGCATGAGCAGGGGGGCGGTCAGAGACAGAGAATCTCAAGCAGACTCTGTGTCAAGCGCAGGGCCCGAGGCAGGGCTTGATCCCATGACCGATGAGACCATGACCTGAGCCAAAACCAAGAGCCGGCCGCTTAACCGACTGAGCCACTCGGGCACCCCAAGTTAGGCTTCTTTAGATTCCACATGTTAGTGAGCTCATGTAGTATTTGTCTTTCTCTGTCTGACTTTGGAAATTTATTCTTTGATGAGGGTAAAACAGCGTCCCTAAACCAGGAAAGATACCATGCACAGTTGAGAAAGGCCTTGCTGTAGGAAGATTAAGTGGCCATGTGCTTGAGAGACCCCGCCTCTCAGTAATAGTCGTCCCCCTACCCGCCCCACATACACACATATACACAAACAAATGCCCCTTGCCCACTTTCACCACTTAGCTTCTAAAACTCTGGCAGTCAGGCCCATATCTTCCATGCAGAGGATTAGAAATATCTTCCTACATAATTTGACCAGCCTAAGAGGGAAGAGCTAAAGAATCTGTAAGTGGAGTTTTCCTAACAGTTGACCCATTCAGGAAACTGTGTTCTCAGAATTCCCTATAGTATGTCCAGAGCTTTCTTCCTAATAACCTTCTGGACAGCCAGACATCTGAGGAAACTAGTATGAAACATAAAGACTGAAACAAACAGGGCAAAACTATACGGGGAGATGAAAACTTTAAAAAAAAATCATTGCTTTCTTCAGAGAGATTGAATAAATACAGCAATCTTATGCCAAGAAGATGCCATAAAAAAGGGAACATTTGGAGAATAATAAGTACAGTTGGAAATTTAAAATATTAAAGCAGAAATGAAAAACTTGGTAGATAGCAGAGATGATAAAGTTGAAGAACTCTTTCAGAAAGTAGAACAAAATGACAAAGATGGCAAATAGAGAAAGTATAGAAGTGCAGGAGAAGTTAAGGCAGTCCCATATCCAAAACAAAGAGTTTTACAAAGAACGATTTTTAAAAATTCAGAGGAAGAAGTCAATACCAATAATTGAAGAAAATTTACCAAAACTGAAGTACGTGGGTTTCCTGATTGCAGGGGCCTTCTGAGTGCCCAAACCAGTGGAAGAAATTAGACCCACACCAAGGCACATCATAATGAAATTGCAGAATGCTAAGGATGTAGAGAAAATCTACATGCTTCCAGGCAGGATATAGTTTCTCTAAAGAACAAGAAAAAGAGAAACCAGGTCAGGTATCATCATGACTTCTCAATGGCAAAACTAGAAGTTCGACAGGCAGTAGAGTGACACCTTTAAGGTTCTGAAGGAAAATTGCTTCCAACTTAAAATTCTGTGCCCAGTCAAACTACCAGTCAGATATTGAGGTAGACTGAATATATGTTCAGACAAACAAAGCCTTAAAATTTTTACCTTTTGGGGTACCTGGGTGGCTCAGTCAGTTAAGCCTCCGACTCTTGATTTCGGCTCAGGTCATAATCTCAGGGTTGTGAGACCAAGCCCTGCATCAGGCCCCATGCTGGGTGTGGAGCCTGCTTAAGATTCTCTCTCTCCCTCTCCCTATGCCCCTCTCCCCTGCACTCTCTATCACTCTCTGTCTCTCTCAAAAAAATTTTTTTTTTACCTTCCAGATACTGGGAGATGTTCTCCACCAAAATGAGAGAGTAGACCAAAAGCATGAGATACAGGACAGGGACAGTTCAGCACAGGAGAGAGATGAAAGGAGTCCCTGGAATGATGGGGAAGACAGATCTTAGGATAACAGCTTGCATCAGATCAGAGGGCACCCAGAGTTGACTGAAACTTGCCAGAAGGCCTGGGGAAACTTCTTCAAGGAGAAGAAATTACTAGAAATACTTGATGTGTTGGAATGTTTTGAGAGGAGCTTTAGTTCAAGTAAGGGACAGTTGGGAGAGTGGGGGTGAGTTAGTGTTGAGCACATACAAAACTAAGCAAAACAAAAGTCAAGACTATTTTTACTCTGGTAGAGAAAAAAATGTGCAGGAAAGGAAAGTACTTCCATATATTAGTTATGATGAATGTTTACATAATCATAATGTAAACACCAAATATTGATTCAACGAGAATTACAATATAATCTAAATTGGGGGGATGGGAAAGGGTGCATATGGAGAGGGGAGAGCTAGATAATTGTCCTCCATAGAAGGAGATTGGTAGATAAAGCCTAAAACCAAAAAACCAAGAAATAGCATTCAAAGCATGATAATTATAGGGGCGCCTGAGTGGCTCAGTCGTTAAGCATCCTGACTCTTGGTTTTGGTTCAGGTCATGATCTCAGGGTCATGGGATCGAGCTCCATATCCAGCTCCACCCTGGGTGTGGAGTCTGCTCGAGATTCTCTGCATCTCCCCCTGCTCATGTGTGCTCTCTCTCTTTCTCTCAAATAAGTAAATAAAATCTTTTTTAAAAAAGCATGATAATTATAGATGTGAGATAAATCCTAAACTAATCCACTAAAACAGGTAAAAAACAGTTGTCTCCAGGGAGGAGAGGAAATGATAAACCTATAGGCTATTTGACCTTTTAAACTATCTGGTTTAAAACTTTATTTTAGGGGCATCTGGCTGCCTCAGTCAGTGGAGCATATGACTTTTGATCTTGGAGTTGTGAGTTAGGGCCCCATGTTTGGTGTGGAGATTACCTAAAAAAAAAATCTTAAAAAAACCCAAAACTTTAATTTTAAAATGTAAAAGGAGAAAAAGAAATAGTTAAGTCAGTTTTGTTTTGTTTTGTTTTATTTTAATGAGGAGTCTAAACACCACAGCAGTAACAGTGACTCTTAGTAATATAATAGAATTTTCTTGTTTATTTAAAAATTCTCTCTTACCAAGTATGCATTTTACTTTATGTGAATTCCTCTCCTAGGTTTTTCTTTCCTTGAATTTCTGAAACAAGTGTAAGGATTGACATTTTCTTTCTGATCACTGGCTTAGCACTAATGCTGTACCAGTAAAGTCTAAGTCACGAATGGCTGAACTCTGAAGAAGCTTTGGAGAGGGGGGAAAATCCTTGCCAAACTACTCCACCTCCCAACCTGTTTGCTAATCCAGCAGAAATATGGATTGGGGACAGGCTTCAAAATTGAACTTCAACAGTGCATAGGACTCCTAACACAAAAGGTGTATGGGGAAATGTCTTAAAATGACCGGGCAGACCGTTAGATTTGGACCTGGCCTATGTCTTCTCAGCCCCTGCTAGAAGCTGCAGATCTTGTAGACCACCAAATAATGCCAGGTGGAGCCTCTTGCTGTTTTCTCTGTTGCTTGTGTTAAAGTTCTACCACACTGACAGATTTTAGCAGCAAAATCTCTTATACCAGTAGTGCTGAAATTAGTAAGCCTTTGTGCTGTTTGGAACCTGGAGTACAGTATAATCAGTCATGCACTCCCAGTTAACAACCCCTGAGACAATACATTATACATATCCATACCAGCTTTTGCACCCAGGACAAAAATACTTGCTTTTCTCTTTCTCACTTCTGTTATCATTTGCATATGTATTGTTGGTGGTGAGCATTCTTTTCAAGTTTTCTGTAGTATTACTTTTATTTACTTTGATTACTCTGCGCCTGGTTGGTAGGTTTGTACATAGTTACACTGATGCTCAAATAATGTGCTAAGGAAATCTCTGGACCTTTCTTCCCTCCCCCTACCCACCCCCATCTATATACTCTAGGTAAAGGTCCAGAATTCCTCAAAGGGCAAAGGAAGGTCCCTGAAATTTTCTGTGACCATTGAAGCAGCTGGGGATGGTATGTGGCAAGTGTGGGACTTTTATGGGTTGGGTTTGTTTTCCCCACATACATTTCACTTGGTTCTCTGAGGAGCTATTATTGCCTGAAACAGGTTTCTTTGCATAGCTTGTAAAGAATTGAGAGGCTTCGAGGGACATATGTTGTGTCAAGCTTTGAAATCTCCAGCCCGACTGTATGAGTGTGTGGGGTATGGGTTTTCCATTAAAGGAAATAATGCATGCAAAGGGTACCACATGGGATGTGTTCAGAAGTTGGTGGCTTTTATTTTAATTCCAGTGCTAGTTTCTCAGGGGTCTAGAGTGAAGACTGTGGTTTTCTTACCCCTATGGTCCCTTTATTATTCTCTTGACTTTGACTCAGTTTTCACTTCTGTTATTCTGAACGTCTTGAGCAGTTCCTGTCTTATTTCTCAGTATGTCAAATATTTACATTCCTAGAAGGATGCTTAGATTTTTCTTTGGTGAAAAGCAAATTTCTTCTCCTTCTGTTTACCTCTCTTCTCTACTTAATCTTTTACTCTAAAAGGACAGGGAGGGGGGAGCTCCTCCAGCTCTTAAAATTTTAAGTTATAATAAGTTGCATATACCCACCATAGTCTTAGGTTTAAAAAAAAGAGAATCTTTCCTTACCCATCCTAAAACAGGCTTGCTACAGGTCATAGTCACCAAATGAGTTCTTACAGATTCGTAGGGAAACTAACAAATTTAATTTTCTTCTGCTCTTTCTCTAGTGCACAGTGCCATTAGACTCATTTGTCTACATTCGTGGGAATGCACAGCCTATTGGATAAACTGAAAAAGATAATGCAGCCATTTAAAAGATGAAAGTAGTGAAATCCTCTCCCCGCCCCCAACATCTTGGGCTAGGAGAAAAGTTAATGAAAAAATGCAAATGTTGAACTTTTGGTAATTTAGTTCTATTTCTTAAAATACACTTTGTGTTGGTTTCAATGTTTTATTGAGTAATAAAATTGGTTAACAGTATTCCCACATGGGGATTTGTTCACATTAGCACATAACAGGGACAGAAGAAGGGATTGGTTTATTCATTTTCATGCTCTCCCCCTTTCCCCGTCTCCCCTTCTCCCCCTATCCCCACCCTTCCCTTTATCCCTCTTCTCTCTTTTCCTTCCTTCCCTCCCTCCCTCTCTCCCTTATTCATTTTTCATTTTTTATCCTCCACTTCCCACTTTGTCTCTTTATAATCCCTTGAAAATTACAATCTGAAAGAAAAGCAAAGATAAAAAGAAAACTAAACCATGAAATAAATAAGACATTTCTTCCCATGAAATTCAAATCAGTTTCTCTTTCCAGATCCTAGGAAGCCTACTTAATTAGATTTTTGCCTATATCCTGCTAAATACCTATAATAGGTGAACTGTATCTACACCTCAGACTCATTTACTCATGGTATCCATGTCCCAGGCTGAGTGTTGCCCTTTCCATTTGACCCTTTTATTCCTGCAGGAAGAGGTTTTGTAACTGTCTGTCCTTCTGATGTAGCAAGTTTGTCTATAAAGTTCAATGTTAAATAGATCACCGACCAACCAGTGTGTAATTATTTGTTATTATTTGATTTTTTTATTTGTTGTCTGTCCCCGACCCTGAAATATAAATTCCATGGGGAAGAGATCTGATGTGTATTCTTGAACCCCATACCCCAGCGCCCAATATCAGCAGCTAGCACATAGTAAATACTGAGTTAACATGTGTGTGTATGTGGGTGCCTGTGTGTGTGAGTGCACGCATGCACACGTGTCTGTGCATGAGAGAAAGAGAGAGGGGTTGAGGATTATTTTTCTTTTAGCCATGTTTGTTTTGTTTTGGTCTTTGAAGCAAGAATAGTTCACAGGGAAGACTTTTAAAGTTCATATTGCAGAATTCAGTGTTTTAAGAGTAGGCTAACCTCTTCACCATGTGTGAATAGATAAGAAGCTCTTATGTTTTTCTCTTCACCACTACTGCTAATATGTTTTAGTCTTGCCTTCTAAACTGTACTATAACCTTCTTTAGATGAACGTGTGTATCCTGTCTTTTGGGTCCATTCTTCACAGTGTTTAGCACAATTTCTGGCATCTAGTAGGTGTTTATTAAATCTTGATTAATAGCAGATTTACCCGGTATACCTGCAAGGACTGTTGACTCATAAATGTGCAATCAGGAAATTAAACATTATGGATTATATCATTTTCATATGATTTATATAAATACTATAATTAAGTTCTTTTTGCAGTATTAATTCCAAATATAATTCCATAAGCTGAAGGCATGTAATTATGGCA